ATGTGCGGAGTGTGGGACTTGCCCCTGTCCGCGCCGTTCGGTATCCACAACACGGACCTGGAAGATTCGGACATTGAATACTTTACATATCCGCGTTGATGTGCCGGGGATCATTCGGACATAGATGTCGACATAGATGTCGCCGACGGTGGGTCTGCGTCACAGCAGAAGGTAGGTAAACGTGCAGCACAGAGGGGGGTGTAGCGTGGGAGAGGAGGACCAGCCGTTGTTGGGCCATTTGGTGTGTGTGGTGTGCGAAGCGGTCCGCGTTCCAAGAGAGCCCCGTTGGCAAGCAAGTGTGTGTGTGTCGGCAAATAAATGCGAAATATTTCATCTTTTTCGTCCCTCAACATTCAACAGGAAAATGCGTGCCCACCAAGCGCGGTGGGTTGTCCACAAATGACCCCGGTTTTTCAAACTTCAAGAACACGATGAAACATGCACAGCAGTTGGTTGTGGCGAGAAGATGAACCCAGCCATTAGATTGAGACTCAGCTCTTGCGACGATGAGACTCAGACCTCGATTCACACCCTCCGGCCGAAACAAGTGCAACCATTTCACACATACATACCACTTCAGAACACGTTTACGAGGTGTGCACAGCACGAGGTGGTACCTTGTGCAACCAGTGACATACCCTGACATGCGGTGACATGCCGGACACCTGCCGTGACAGTTCGGAAGCGAAAAAAACCTTCCCAGCATCCTCACATCCTCACCCGTGTGGGGTTACCAGTCCGCCCTGTCCAAGCCACACTTCCTGCCCGTGCGTGTCTGGTCTACACTACTGCGGAGAGTACATGTGTCTGGCTATGTTGTGCGCCCATGGGGTTCAGCCGTCGTTCGCCTGTTGTCATGCAGACTGCATGTAGAAGGCTTGCTGCGGTGGGCGCGGAGTTTCTCGTGTTAGGGTGTGTCTTATCAGGCCAAAAAAATACGTACTTAGTATTTGGTTACGAAACCGCATTTTCTTGAAATATATGGAGGCGTTCCTCTACGTTTCCGTAAAAAGAGCGAAGCGTATTTTTTCTGGGCTTGCTCCTTTTACGTTTCGGTGAAAAATTTCCCGCTTTTGTGCGACCACCAGAGCAGACACCAGTCACGCGTGCTGTCTTCATCACACCACACGTAGACAGCACCAACAACACCCCAAAGTGCTTCCCAAGGCAACTCCACTACCATGCCTGAGCGTGGGAAGCGTCAAGATCCCAGGGGGATCGCAGCGCAACGCCGGGAGAAGCGCCGTCGGCGAGCTATCGACGAGGAGGATGTAGCCCATGACAAGAGATTCACAGTCTTGGGTCTTGTGAGGGCCGTAGTAGTGGCGGCGGGCGTCGTGGCAGCAGGAGAGGCTCATCGTGCCCACTGCCCTCAGNAGCTGTTGCTCAAGCTGTATGTTCTCGGCATCGCCGAGGTAGTCAGCATCGCGAGAAATCAGGCCGAAACCAGCACGGATCGCTTTTTGCGCCCGTGAGAAGGCGTGATGTGGAGCATGGCGGTTCTGATGAGCTCATCTCACAGCTGGGGCGAAGGGGTTTCGCAGGATAATTTTGGTTATGTGATACACCCGATGGTTCTGAAGAAAAACGCCAATTAATTCTCATTTTTGGATACGTTCCCATTTTTCCCGCAAGTCTGTTCTTCGCTGGAAGTCAACGCTTTCTTTGGCGGTGAATGTTGATGTGTAGATGCAGCCGCCCACGGCAGGTATGCGTGATGAGGGTTCTTCTGGTGTATATGTAGAAAGCAACGGGGAAGAGCACAAGTCTAAAACATGTGCTGTACATAGACTAGTCTACACTGCTGTATGTTCCTGTTGCCTTTTTTTAAAAAGCAACTCGCTCGTCGAACATGCGGCAGCAGGGTACGTACAGCGCAGCAGCACTTTTGTACGATATGCATGCATCAGTAGACACATGCTTTGTACAGCAGCGGTCATTGTATGGGTTAAAGGCGAAGGTACTATTTGTGACGCTCACTACTACTGTGCAGCAGTATTCACAGGGCGTACAGTACACGCCGGCCCCACTAAACAAATACAGCCTCGTCGGGAGCCGATACAGATTGTCGTATCCCGCAATGACACAACAGCTATCGACACGTGCTCATCATTTGCAAAATGCGTATGTAGGTGATGAACACAGAGCCGCCTCCGTACCGTAGTACATAGGTGGATTGGGCCGGCAATTTGACGAGTTTGCGGAGAACATGCGTCCCCCGTCGTAGGTTGCTAAACTAGGTGCTGGCGATTGCAAACATGCCCCCCTTGACACTCGTACTTCTGTCCTGAACGACACACGCTCATCCTGCAAACATTATCTGCGCGTCGCTCGGAAACCCCACAGCACTGCGGTCGCCAACCAACGGCGCCATAGCTGTGGAAGTCCGCGTTGCCGCGGCGTTGAGGATCCTGGCTGGCGGCAGTTACTGGGATGTTGCCCTCATGTTTGGCTTGTCGAGGGCGGTCACGTTCGACATCTTGTGGCAAGTGATCGATGCCATCAACGAGACGCCTGCGATTGGAGCATTTGACTTCCCCCTGACCGAGGAAGGCTGCATGCGAAACTCCAACAGATTCAAGGTGAGACCTAACGGTGGTCAGTACTGCAACTACGGTTATTCTTGACGGCACTCTTTCGACCAACCGCGGGATATCGTGTATTTTTTCACGTCTGCTGTTTCCAGCCGTTTTAGCGTAGGGAGGACTATCTATACGCAGCCCTCGTTGATAAGAGAGAAACAAAAATGTTGTCGCCGGGGGGTACGAGTTCGGGTTGTCATCGTGGTCAGCATGGTTCGAACCGAAAAATATCCCCCGGGTCCCGGGTGGTTCGCCAGCTTTCGGTGTCCTTGGACAAATAAATGTTGTTGTCATCCTTTGTGTATGCTGGCCACGTTGGTTCGGCCCCGCAACAGCAGTGGCCCGGCAACAGCTTTAGCGATACAAGAGTGTGGAATCAATGCAGTCACCTCCGTGGCTCTAAAATGCCCTGATACCTTTGTACCGCTGTACGTGACGCAGTATGATTATGATTATGATTATCAAACGGCCCAACTCTCAGTTTACATGGTATTCCCACCGTTGCTGGCGATGGCGCCGTCGCCGACGACATCAACCCACACAACGTACAGCTGAACACTGTTACCATTTTTTGTCAAGCTATCTCTCGACTTATTTTATATCCCTTCCCGACACTGCTACTTTCCCGCCCTCGTGTCTGCCGTCTACAAATGCAGGAGAAGAGCACCGATGGCATTTTCTCCTGGGTCGTCGCCGCCGTGGATGGTCTGTTCATCAAGGCCAAGGCTCCGTATGCGAAAGACACCGCCAACGTCCTCGCGTACTACTCTGGCAGCAAGTCCGCGTACGGCATCAACGTACAAGCGATGTGCACCGCCGACTACCGGTTTTGCGCGATGTCGGCGATCTCACCAGGCTCTACGAACGACTGGGTAGCATGGAATCGATCTTCCCTCGCCAAGGCCGTCGCCCGCTTGCCCACCGGATTTCACATCATTGGTGACGCCGCCTACCCCATCGGAGAAAAGCTTCTGACTCCGTACCCTGGGAGGCTCCTGCCGGCGGGTGAGGACTCGTTCAACTTCCACCTGAGCCAGCTTCGTGTCAAGATCGAGCAGAGCTTCGGCATCCTGGTTTCGACTTGGGGCATTCTGTGGATACCTCTCCGCGTGCAGTTTGGAGGACGCGCGGATCTCATCACGGCTCTTTTCCATCTGCACAACTTCCTGCAAGACGAGAAGGTATCGCCGATCCAGGTTGCAGAGGAGGACTCGCGCAGCGGACGCAACCGGCCGGCCCTCTGTGCTACGCAGCGCACCTTGCCGGATGGCTGGCAAACGGAGCAGCCGGCTCCTTCGAGGAGCGGTGAGACCCCGGCCCGAGCGGCTATCCGCACGGCCCTGGAGTTGAAGAAGCAGTGGAGGCCGGACTACAACCGCCGGAGGAATTCGTAAGCACGTATCCAGCCCGGCGGCATCGTGTCGCGCGCGCACAAGCGGGAAGTGGGGACGGGTCTACATAGGGGCGGATGGGGGCGGATGGGGAGGAAGGTCGCTACTACAAGCGGGCGAGAGGCGCGGCGGGGGGCAAGGGGGGTGGGGGTGGGGCGCGCGGGGATGCGATTCTTCCCGTGGCGGGGACACTAAAAGGGCGGGTTGCGGTTAGGGGCCACATGAGCGGATGGCGGCAGAAGTAGGCTAGCTTCCACGGTATGACGAGACGCGTGAAAGGGAGGATAGCGGCGCGGGAGGGAGAGGCGCAGGAGGGAGATACCTCAATGTAGAGGGCGGAGGGCGCTGGAAGGACGTGTTTTGGGTGTTGGTGGTAGGGTGTCGGCGCATCCCGGGGAGAGGTGGGGGGTGTGATGTGTGACATGTTGATTCTCGCTGACATGTTTTGTGGGTGTCGGTGTGGAGCGTTCTGACCAGATGTGTCCTGGTACACTTGGTTCGTATTGTGTGTGTTCGTGCCGGCAACACTTTATGGTTAACATGCATCGTGTGCGGATGAAAGCGGGGTCCTGTGGGTCTTGGAGGGTGCTTGTTTTGCCTAGGGCATTAAAAATGTGGGCATGTTCGACTTTTTTTTCCTAATTGATAGGAGGGTGTGAATCGAAAACGTTGTTGTCGTTGATACAACTTTTAATGATGTCTCTGCATCCCTGTATTAAATATTCGTCGCGTGGGTGAAACATTGCTCCAGGTTGCAGACCTGAAGGAGACCCACACACACGCTAAAAATTGGGGTCTTGTCGAATCCCATCGCGAACACATTCCTGCGCTTCAAGTGAGCATGCGCGGAGATGGGAAAAATTGCAAGGCTCCAAAATTGCGGAATCAAAGCGTGCCTCAGAGTTCCCGCCAACACCCAACGTAGTATTGGGTTGCAAGAACAAGTCTTGCAAATAGGAAAACACCAAACGATATGCATGTCCGCAGATTGGCGGCACGGCAGGTTACCCCCAAGACAGCAATGTCTTCGGCGTTTTTCAACCATATTATCCTTGATACTCATTTGTTGCCTCAAGGCATCCTCTCAAAGTGTTGTTGCCAGCCAAACAACCCACACGTCTCTGCGGAGGCGCACGTATCCTAAAAAAAATGATGCTACGAAAAGACTAAGTCGTTGACTCAACCATGCCCAACAAAAAAATTGAAACCTCCCCCCCCCCTGGCCCAAAAAAAAAAGAAGGCTACGACCCTCGCAGCAAGCAAGCCCTGCAGCAGGGAGAGAAATAAAAAAACGCATCCTCGTGTTCGTTGAATACAGTCACAGCAACTTGCCCGTGAACCACAACGGTCTCGGCTTTCTTCCACTATATTTATTTTGTTGATACTCCTTTGTTGCCGTAAAGCATCCTCTCAAAGTGTTGTTGCCTACCAAACCCACACGTCTATGCGGAGGCGCACGTATCCTCAATGCTGCGACGAAACGAAGACGTTGACTCAACCATGCCCAACGATAAAAATGAAACTACCCCCCCGCCCCCCGCCCCGTCACGCATGCATAAAATTCGACGATTGCACGGTAACACTCTTCCGGGAGTGCATATGGGTGTTATTCGTCGCCAAACATTTCCTTCTCGATGCCGGCCAACATTTTGCGCAGGAATCTAACTCTCGTCTGATAACCCTCTGCTTTTTCTTTCTCCTCCTCCACAATTTTCTTCGAGAATTCGGCGTGGGACTCGGTCATTTCCTTCTGGAGGGCGAGGCCAGAAGCCTTGCTGTCGTGTTCAGCAGTCTTGCAAGCGTGTTCCTCTTTTTTTTTGTACCACTCTGATTTTTCTGATCCGCCAACCTTTTCCAGCAGTGGCTCAATATCTTTGAGTGCGGTTTTCATGGCAGCGGACGTAGCCTCTGCCACGCTTTGCCCCACCCCCTTATTTTTTGGCTTTTTTCCCCGCCTGTTCTGCTCGTTGAGCCTGGCGCCCTCCCGCTTGGCGGCAGCCCGGCGGTCGGCACCGCCTGTGCAGACAATACCCTCTCCGGTCCCGTCGTCCTCTCGCTGAGCGCCCTCGGGGAGGAGATTGTTGCACACTTGGTTCAGCTCGGGGTATTTCTCGATTGCGCAACCGAGAACATACGTGTCCGTGCACCCTGTAAAACAAAAAAAAAATGCAAGGCGCGGGCGGGAGTGTTTTTTGGACCAATTGGTATGGTCTTTGGTCGTGCTTCAAAATACACCATCAGGCCTCAATGCCAACGTCATTCCTGGAGCACGGTTTACAACACTGTCGAGAACTCCAAGTATAACTTCAAAACTCCGACCGTAGCAGCACTTGCACGCTGTGAAGGAGGATGGGCGGAATTTATGCCACGACCACAAAATCGCCCAAGGTTCCTCGAGCAAACAGACGCTATTTTGTACCCAGCCCCACTCCACCCATCCCTTACCTTGACAAAATGAAAGCCATGGCTGGTTGTTGCCGGATTCACTCTTCCAGTTGGCATAAGGCTGGTTCCACTTCGCCTTTGCCGTAGCCCACATCCTGGAAAGCTTCTCCGCGGAGATGTTTGGTTGCTGGATGATGTTCGGGTCGACGTGAGACACTTGCTCGTCGTCCACGATTTTTCTCACCTGCAAAACGTCCACATCACCCATATATGGGGCATGCATACAGCGAGAGAGCGAGGGAGCGGGCAGCGCAGATCATACACGTGTTCTTTAAAAAAACTTACATAGAGTACCGCCCCCCCGGGCGTGCGAGGAATTTAACACGATTTTGATACGAAGAAAAACAACATACCGAACGGGGAATGCACCTCTCGTGGGAAGCTTAGTACTGTCGGCCTGATCCCGGCCTGTATTTTAGCGTTGCTTCTGCAGTGTTATTTTTTTCTGTCGTGTAATATTGTTTGGCTATGCACTCCTGTGGAATTCTTCTGCGCGTTTTCTAAGTCTTCCACCAATAGGTGAAGGTTTCGAAGCAACTACAGCAGTATGATCGGCGTCGGCGTCAGCAACAACACCATAAGTTACCGGTGTACGTCAACAGCAGGTTGACCCGCTCTTGGGGGTGGATACCTCATGGGTTTTTACCTAAAACAATGGCGATCGTCCGTGGACGTCATGAGGTGTTGAGTACGATGGCTAAAATGACCACTAAAAAAAGGCATGCGTGTCAACATACATATCGACTGCTGTCTATGTACAACGTTCTCGGCCGATCCGTCCTAATCAATCCCCTACCCATGACCGTGTACCTGGTGGTCAGGGTCTCGGAAGCGCGTGGTGACCTCTGTCCACAAATCGTTCCGCGGCCCGACTGATGACGTGTCCAGGTCCTGCCGGGTCGCCTGCAAGCGGCTCTCTATGAGAAGTGGGCGGATGGCGTCTTCGCACAGGATCCCAACGAGCCGCATCATGCAGTGTGGGCCCTTGCGCTCCGTGTTGCTGCCGCTCCCTCCGACGGAACCATCCCCGTCCGGTCCGGCTGCACCACCCGTCGATGAACCACCAGTGGAAGCACTCCCGCCCGCAGAATCCCCCGTTCCCGCTTCGTCTTCCTTGGCCAGGGCGTCGTAAAGGTCCACCGCACTGTACTCCACATTATCGACTTTAAACGGCACTTTACTGTCACGTGCTATGGCGACCATCCCGACAACATTTCGAAACGTAAGGAGTGCTTTGGCAGGGATGGCTCCCTCCTCCTCGTCCTCCTCCCCGTTGCTGCGTCCAGATTTGCCTGCGCGAGCATTGGGGATAGGAGAAAGCGGCCCACACAACGAATAAGCCTTCGCATGAGAGGACGCCTCGGGTGTACACCCCCAACCGGAGCAAAACTCCATATTCCTCATGCTGTATTCCACAAAAAATCGTTCAACTCTAGACATTCCTCTGAGCGTGAGAGGACAGAACACACAAAGCTTAAGCGTTTAGGTCCGTGCACCACCGGTTGTCGTCAACAAAGCATGCCTGGTAGTACGCTGTGCGTGCCTTTATTTTCCCACTTACTGAGGCAAATAAAACAGCTCTCGAGCATGCCGTACCTTCTACTGTACGAACAGGTCGATTTGAAGCGGGCATTCTACATAAACACAAAGCAGTAATTTTGTTTTGTAACCTTAACGCACACTGCGTTCAACTGCAGCATACTTACCTATAATTTTACTCAAAACTCTGTGCCGTCTGCTGTGACTCTCATCGACGACGAATCTACACAATACCAGCATCTCACCGGCTGTGATAGCATTGAGGTCGTCATAGTACGGAGATGGCCGGTTCATGTTGCCGTCGTGAGATCGCAGGGCCTGCACCAGGACATGCTTGTCGCCCTCCTTCGACATCCTCGGGATCTTGCGGTGCGCGCATGTCCTCCTCAGCAGATGTGCGGCCCAGAGCGGGTAGTCCTTGCCCCGGGCTTTCTTGGCACTCGCTCCTAGGCTTGCCTTTGTTGAGTTCCTGTTCCCTACGGCGCTGCCGCCGGCGCTCGCCTTCCGCTTGCCATGGTTTTTTTTTCTGCCCGCTCCCCCTCCCCCGAATATTGCTTCCCGTATTTCCTTTGCGAACACGCTATCTCCGGACTCGACATCTCCAGGCTCCTGTGAGCCTATGTCCGACGGAGCTGAACTCTCCTCTACCGACACATTGCTGCTGCCACTTGACATCGGAGCGTCCTTCCCGTTGTCGTCGTCGCTGCTGTCCGATTCGCTCCAATTCTTCCCTGAAGCTTCGCCAAACTGCTTGTCGTTCAGAATCATGCTTACGGCCACCCGACGAGCTTTAGTAATTTCAGTGTCCATGAGGCCCGGCATCAGCCCCGCACCAGGTGGCACCCCCTGTTGTGTATCGGTATGGGGGGTAACCCTGCTGTGGACGGCCTGGCGGACCATGCCGCTCGGTGCCGGCTGGAGCTGCACGGCGCCAGCAGGCGTGATCTGGGCAACACCATGCCCAGCAGCTGCACCACTTTCACCTCCACCCTGCAGTCGCAGAGGTACCGTTTTCGTTCTTGATGGCCGGCCTGCCACTGCTACGGCGTTGTTGTTCATGGTGTGGGTTTATCACGTCTGTTGTGGGAGTCCTCGGGTCTCTCGCCTGGTCGGGACCGGTGTGTGTACGTCGAGCCGTGGCGCTTTCCGTAAATTTTGAAAAAATACGCACCTTCGCGCCTTCTGCCGATAAGAACCACTGGAAACCCTAGTTACGGTTCCGCGAAAAAAGTTACTATTCGGTGAAAAAAGTTACGTATTTTTGCGGCCTGATAAGACACACCCTAATATATAAATAATTTTTTGTCTGCACCATTTCCCCCCCCTACTAGGCTTTTTTTTGCCCCTTCTCGGCACTGCTACCTTCCCGCCCTCGTGTCTGCCGTCTACAAATGCAGGAGAAGAGCACCGATGGCATTTTCTCCTGGGTCGTCGCCGCCATGGATGGTCTGTTCATCAAGGTCAAGGCTCCGTGTGCGAAGGACACCGCCAACGTCATCGCGTACTACTCCGGCAGCAAGTCCGCGTACGGCATCAAAGTACAAGCGATGTGCACCGCCGACTACCGGTTCTGCGCAATGTCGGCGATCTCTCCAGGCTCCACAAACGACTGGGTGGCATGGAATTGATCTTCCCTCGCCAAGGCCGTCGCCCGCTTGCCCGCCGGATTTCACATCATTGGTGACGCCGCCTACCCCATCGGAGAATAGCTTCTGACGCCGTACCCTGGGAGGCTCCTGCCGCCGGGTGAGGACTCGTTCAACTTCCACCTGAGCCAGCTTCGTGTCAAGCTCGAGCAGGCATCCTGGTTTCGACTTGGGGCATTCTGTGGCGACCTCTCCGTGTGCAGTTTGGAGGACGCGCGGATCT